TTTGCATTGCCTTATACTCCTTTAAGAAATGTGGTATAGGCACAGAACTAAAATTTGGTGTCACAAAGAATGTTGTGGAAATTTATAGGCTTTGGTTTATAGAGACTTGAAGAAGTTTTTCCATCTTTCTGGTATTTTATTCCTGTCAGTTTGCATTGCTTCTTTTCTTTCCTTCTCCTCCTCCGCCAGGTTTGGTTTTAAGCTTCAGATTCAAAGAAACCCCAAAGTCAAAACAAAATGGTCAGAACTGCTGACTCTTGTTTTGTAATCTTTTTTTAGTCCAGTATTCACAGGAAGAGAGGGTGCTGACCAGAAATTGGGCCTAACTTCACCCAAAATGTTGGCAATGTTCAGGAACCTTTGAGTGAACTTGTGCCAAGTTAATGATATATAGCAAAACTTCACCAATTTTCCAAAAACATTTAAAATATAATTTAATGAAATATCACCCTGTAAAAGTCGAGTTAGTACTTAGCATTCAATATTAACCTGTTAGCTCTTTTTGATAAAAATAAAACAATAGTAACTTATATTTTGTCTCAAACATGTTTTTTAAAGTTACAGGTACATTTTGGAACTGCATAAGTAAATGGACTTGTGGGTTCATTCATTACCTTTGAAGTTTCCTTTGAAGATTTGCAATTAACAAATAAAGGTATCCTAAATTATTGCTTATCGAGTTTCATCTTAGAATTTTTATAGCTATGTTATAAACCTTCCACAAGAGTGTTTTTAAAATGGAAATGCTGACAAATGTGATAATAAACACTGATGCAAGGGTCTTAATTTTATGTCCATGCAGGAATTACGCATACTAGCAGAATATTTAGTTCGGTTTCCAGCATTAATTTTGCCAAAATCTGCTTTCACATTGAGCAACTAAAAGATGATCTGTAAAAGATGATCAACGTCTCAATGGCTCCGGGTTGATGCCAAAGGATTATGATTATTTTTACATGTTTTGGAAAGCGTAATTATGTCTTTCAAATATGATTTCATTTAGATATTTTTATGGTTTACATGTCTGAATACTAATAGTAATCTGATAGTTATTCACAACTTACTTTGAGACTAAAAGGCAATTTTCAGTCAGTAAAGAGTTTATAAATAAATTGCCTCCAAGCAGTATCTAAAATTGTATTTAGATTCTAAATGTCCAAGTAACTTTAAGATTTCAAAAACCAATTATTATAATTTTCCAGTAGTAACTGACACCATTAGAATTTTTTTTACTGTTAGAAGTTATTGAAAAGCCAATATTCACTAATATTTCTATCAATGTTCGTTTAGAAGATAAAGATTAAAACAATTTTAATATTGTATGTTATATTTGACAAAAACTTGTATTAAAAAGAACACTGCTTTTATGGATCTAACATGGGAAGAACTAAAATTTAAACTAAAACATTGCTTAGAAAAGTTGGGTATCAAAATATGGAGGCACACTGGATTTAAGTTCAGAATGTGGATCTTTTCATCTTATCTCTATGGATGATCTGGTGTAAGGAAAGTCAATCCATTCCCTGAGTCTCTGATCCTTATTTGGCTTCAAATTATTCTATTAGTATAATAATCATGAAAATATTAATACCTTAGAACAGTTATCCCCAACCTTTTTGGCACCAGAGACCGGTTTCATGGAAGACAATTTTTCCATGGACAGTCGAGGGGTATGGTTTCAAGATGATTCAAGCACATTACATTTATTGCGTAGTCAAACCTCTCTGCTAATGATAATCTGTATTTGCAGCTGCTCCCCAGCCATAGCATCACCATCTCAGCACCACCTCAGGTCATCAGGTATTAGGTTCTCATAAGGAGCAACCTAGATCCTCTGCACGTGCAATTTACAGAAGGATTCCTGCTCCTATGAGCATCTAATGTCCTGCTGATCTGACAGGAGGCAGAGCTATGCAGTGATGCAAGCAATGGGGAGCAGTTGTAAATACCGATGAAGCTTCACTGACGTGCAGCTCACCTCCTGCTATGCAGCCTGGTTCCTAACAGGCCATAACCTTTACCAGTCCTAGGCCAAGGGTTGGGGACCACAGCTTTAGAAGACTGCATTTTGGGGCAGTGTCTGAACATGCAAAAACTTACAACAAGCAAAGCATTTATAAACTGTGACATATTTAAGAATGGTGTACATAATTCCTCTAGTAATAATGGGGAAATAGCTTTTCATTTAGAAGTTCTTTCGGTATTATTTCATCTGTTGAAGAGTTATGAGGTATTCACTGTAAGAATAGTATATGCTTACTAAGAACATAATAGAATGGGTTAGAATATGAGGGAGAGGATTAAGGATGATGGGTGGCTATATTCTTTCTTCAGGACCCAATGATGTTGATTGTCCCTGGTCTACAAACTTTGGTTTTCAAAACTAATTCTTTCAACAAAATATTAAGGATCCCTAGATTTGAACCATGTTTTTTTCTTTTTATTTATTCAACACTTGCAATTTTTTAAAAAAATAAAAGATGTTTAATTCCCAGGAGGAATTGATTTGGAAGAAGGAAGGGAGCTTCTGTAAACTGTTTCAATTTTAAACCCATCCACACTATCTGCAAAAAATCAAAACATATTTTGACTGAATGAATGAATAACTGAATAGATAAACATGAATGATAGATGGGGCCACTAGTACCCAGTAAAAAGTTGGGGAACAGAATACTATTTGATTATGAGTTGAGAAATAGCTATTTTTCTTTCACATATCAAAATGAGTAATTTTAAATTTATCTTAAAAAATACAGATATGCTAGTCTAGGTAGCCAAAAAGTGGTCTAGAAAAAGAGGAGAAAAAAGAGAAAATGAGAAATTTTACTTTATATGACTGATATACATGCCGTTGTCCTAGTCTCAATTTATTTTAATAAACGTGCTAAGGGATAAGAGAAAACACTCCCTGGTTTTGTTGCTGTTTTGTCTTAGCTGTTTTAATCTTTTCCCTCTTACCTGTTTATCCTGATGTTCTTATGGCAGAGGTGGAAAAAAATCCTAGTGGAAACACACAGTCAAAATAAGAAAACATCTTGGGAGTGGGGTCTCATTTCAGAACTCATCTGATTCCTATGGAAAGGAGAACTAAGAAAAGTTTTAAATGTTATAAGAACTGATGAAGGTCCTGGGAGATAAGAAAATTCTGCAAAATCCCCTGGGAGGGAGTGTGAACTGGCAGAACCTACCAAGAAGGAAATCTGGCCATTTGTATCCACAAACTTAAATGTTCATTTTATCCAGAAACTTCACTTCTAGGTATCTAACATCAAGAAATCATAATAGACAGAAAAGACATTTATAAGAACTCTCTTTGAAGCATCATTTATTTATTTTTTTTTTAAAAAGGAAATATCTTAGCTATCCACCTGTAAATGATTGGGGTTAAGTTGTGATACACCGATATAACAATAAAATATAGTAATCAGAATTAAGTGTGAATATTTAAAGATGAGGGAAAAGTGCTTATTCCATAACGCAGAGTGAAAAAAGAATAGTCAAAAGTGTCCCAATTTTGTTAAATATATTGAATTATAACGGCATAGAAAAAAAAGACTAGAAGAAAATAGATGGAAATGCTAACAGTATGGCTATGCGGGGTGATTTAAATTTTTTTTCTTTTTTTTTAACTTTTGTTTTCCAAACTTTCTAGGATACGTATAAAATAAATTCTATTTCTAAAAGCATGATAGGGAGAATTGTGTGTTCGAGAGCCCCCATTTAAGTCTGTGTACAATGAGGGGTAAAATAAGTGTTGGAATAATCATTGGGGATTATCCTTTAGGACGACTGAATTTACGTTTAGGTGGGCATTATTCACTCAAGTTCTTTTCTCACGAACTGACTCCTATGTGAATGACCCCATTCAGGTGCTAGCGCGTCACACAGGAGGAAGAATTGTGGAATATCAGAGGATCCAAACTGGAGGCGGCCTCTCAGCATGGGCCGGGTGCAACTTCATCCCTACCGCAGGCGTTTTGCAAAGCGTCAGAACGCATCTTCTCTTGTGACTTTTTGCCCCTCCCTCGTAGTGCCTAGATGCCATTAGAATGAACGTTCTCTTCCCTACCTGCAGCTAAAAATTTAAAAGCGCGCACAAAGGAGCACTGCGAAAGACCCAGGCCCTTCCACGGGGTACCACTGGCTGGCGGGGAAGTCCCGGGCTTCCAAGGCCCCCTGCGGGCCCACCAGTGCCCTGAGCGTTTGGGCCTGAGGCGCCTCTCACCCCTCGCTCTGGCCTGGGGCCCGAAGGGGCCTGAATAGGGTTGTTGATTTCTGTGCACAAGGGGCAAAGCGCAGATTTGCAGTGGAGCTAAGGCACTGAATAAACAACCACTGTGGTCCTGGGATGACGGATCATCTAGGAGGGAGAGAGGGTCGGCGCGCACGCGAGAGAGAACGGGAGGGGAGGATGATGGAGAGGATGACAGGGATAAGTCCCTTTTTAGAGGTCGCACTTTTTCGGCGGCTTCCCCGGACTCCTCTTCCTTCTACATTTCCTATTCTCTGTCCCTCAACACGCCTCGGAGGACCAGACCGGAGATCCCGAGCCCCTTGGCCTCTCGGAAAAGCTCTCGCTTGGCACCGCTTGCTGGTGTCTGAGCTGCCCCTCCCCACCCGCACCGGCTGGAGCGCCTGCGGGGGATGGCGCAGCACAGACTCCAGGGTTAAAAAAAAAAAGTAAAAATTTCTACTTTATTGTTTCTGTTTTTAGGGAGGGGATATTGAACTCTATAGCAGCTCCGAAGCCTCCGGTTTGCGGACAGGATTAGCATCCCACCCGCCCCGCCCGCACGAACGCCAAGGCGCAAGCCCGGAGCGCGGGACTTTCTAATACGCTCCGACTCGCCCCGCTAGCCCCTGACCCGGACTCCACCGAGGGCGATCGCATCCGTCTTAACTCTACGGCTGCCACTCTTCTCGGGGGTCATGGGGCTTTTACAATCCGAACCCAAGCTCCAGAGCGCCAGACATTGCGCCGTGGGGCACCCCTCCTTGCCTTTCAGCCGCACCCACCGCCAGGTACTGGAACGCCCGAGTCTGTGCGCAGCCAGGCGAGAAGGGCGCGCAGACACCCCTCTTCCCACCCCGGCTCAGCCAGTTTCCTTCTTCTCACAGCTCTCCAAGAGCTCAGTCATGAAGGAAATGTAGACGATGGCCAGGCGTAGGGTCTCGATCCGGGACAGCCTCTTCTCATAAGCAAATGTGGGCACCTTCCTCCGCAGCTGGTCGAAGGCCTCGTTGAGGTTGAACATCCGCTTCCTCTCGCGGATGTTGGCGGCCTGGCGCTGGGCGTATGTGATCACCCTTTTCCTCTTGGGGCGGCCCAGTAGGGAGGCGCCTCTCCCGCGCTCCTCTTCCTCCTCCTCTTCATCATCCCCATCGTCTACTTCGCCCTCCTCTTCTTCTAGGCGCCCCTCCTCAAACCGCGCCATCCGTCTGGGTCTTCTCTCTCGGAGCGCAAGGGCTGGGTCCCCAAAGGGGACCCCAGGTACGAAGTCGCAGAGGAGGGGGTGTCTCGGGGAAGACAGGGCCAGGTCTGCGACGAAGTCCAGCACGGTGGCATCCACGCAGCTCTGCGGATAGGCGGCCATCGCTTCGGCCTGGACCTGCGTCTCATCGATTTATCCCAGGGACGGGCGAGCCAACTGATGTGTATTCTTAACAGCCTTGAATCTGATGAGGCACCATCACCGAAAGTCCAGGGGATATTAATTATTCACAACCAATTTGATAACCGGATTAGTTGCACTGATAAGGAAGGCTCAGACAATGTCCCTCTTCTCGAAGCTGATGGAAGAAGACAAGCTTGAGCACGCATGGAAGAGTCAAAGGGACAGGCCTCCACTTCTGAGATCCTTTTCTCCGCGCCACCAGGACAGTTCCTTCTTGGCAACAACCCCCAGCTCTTACCTGCTGTGCTTTTTGTGTCTCTCCTCACCCCCGCAGCCAACTAAAGTTCTCCGGGCTCCTTATCTCATGTAGTTCTTTAATTTCGACTTGGATTTTCAAAGCGAGGATGTTTTCCACCGCGATGGCTTCTCCTTGGCTTCAGGGTAGGAGTCTTGAATCTTGCCACCATCTGCCAATGGATGTGAAACAAGTGCATGCGCTTTTAATGATGTCCTGAAGAGGGGCCCTGCCTGCTAGGGGTCGAGGGGATCTGTTTGTCCGGTATCCCAGTGCAGCGGCTGCTGAAAGGCAAGACCTTCCATTAGCTTAAGTAAGCATGGCAGGGGGGCCGAGAGCGCATTCCCCAGAGTCGCTGTTGGAACCGGCTTTTTTTTTCGTTCCAGGGCATCGCAAATAGCTCTCCTGCCACGTTACAAACCCTGACTTCGAAGGTCTGTTTGGATGCAATCAGCCTAACAATTGAGATACTTGACTTTCCTTTCCTTACCCCTTTCGCCTACTCACGTAAAACAGAGGATTTTATTTCCAGGGAAGTTATGATGGCAATAAAATGAAAAATGGAAGCTCAGAACATTTTCTAGGCTCGGGATTTACTGTATGATTTCCATCGTGGGGGACAAAGTAAATCCTCCCACCAAACAAAACCATTTCAATTTTCTTTCAAAAAGGCGATTTACCCTTGATAAGCCAGAGGGTCAAGCAGTTCACTGTCTGCGGAGTCCTCTTTGGATTTTTAGATTGCTGATTGAATATTTGTTTGTGAACAAAGAAAAAATCTTGACACTTCCATCTGGTTTATTTTCCTCACTGATTTATACTATCCTACAGTAGGATTCAAGGGCAGAAACTATATACATTATTGAATTCTATTTAAGGGTGGTTTTTAGCTATCTTTAGATCATCTTTTGAAATAAGAAATATTTTAAATTTAGTTTAACAAATGAAATCTCACTGATTTTATATTATCAGCAATCTTTTAGTAAAAAGAGTTCTTTTTTTCTCCCTTCTTCTTTGCCTATATTTACTTAACTATTCAGTACGGTGTAGAGATTTTGAGAAAGATCTGGTGGGGCAAAGCGACATGTTAGAAAATAATTTTAAAGGGATTTTAGAAGAAATAGACTGAACATGTGAGTATAGAGACATTCTGATTCAAAAGAGAACCCCGAGGACATCAGTTCCTATTAAAGGGGGTAAATTGTGGCTGTGACGGTACACTCAGTACATTGGACAGCTCCCAGAAACCGTCTATTTCTAACAGGTAATCACAATTCCTTTCCTTCTTCCTAGCCGCCCATTGTGTAATCAAAGCAGTATAACCTTGAATCCTTCTTCTTTTAACCCATTTGTATTTGGATTCTCCCTCAACCTTTTCTCCTTTAATATGTTTTCTCCTCTTTTGCTTGTCTTTACTCTTCATTCTCCAATATATATTGTGATAATTCAGGCAGAGAAGAATTGAACTTTGTGTTCCTGAAACATGGTAATGAAAATGAGATATTTGGTTATGATTACTTATTTTATTTTTACTAAACTTATTGCAAAAGGAGCACTGAAAAATAAACAATACTAGGAATGCCAACAGTGGCTAAAGAGCCAGTAAATGGGAGAGTTGATTTTTGTTTTGCCAAGCCAGTAACATGCATTCTAACTCCTGTTTAACTTAATGTGTTATTAAATACTTGGGCAAATTTCATAGTGGATTTTAAAATTATGTGAAATGTTTCTCAATGACTTTTTTTTCCTTTTAAATCTATATGCAAGTTAATTAAATACCTCAGTCATTGTGAGAATTCAGTTCCACAACAAAATATGTTAGGACACTTAATGAAGGAAAATGTGATTTATATTCAAATTTAAAATGTCATAAAATGAGGGTCAGAAACTCCCATGTGACTCCAAAGAAACAATTTTATCAGACTAAAGTACATGATTTTAGCCAAGGTAATGAGTATTTCAACAATTATATCACAAAGAAAACTGTAGCAAAATTAAGGGAACCATCACCCAGGATTGGGTTGAAATACTAGTATTAAAATATTAGGACTTTTAAAAAAAGTCTTAATAGGTATACCTGCAGTAATAATTTAAAAATAATTTTTTTCATCAAAAATCCAAGGATAAACACTTGTTTATACTACAGTAATTTCAATTTGTCTTATAAGATTCTAATCATGCTGAAAAAATTAGAACAAGAAATGTTAAAATTTAAGTTGCGATAGTGCTTACTTTTTATGATTATAATTAGTTACAAAATAATTATAATTATTTCATTATAATTATAATTAATTGTTTTTCTCTCTAGTATTGAAATAGTCACTTTATTCTTAAAAGGCTTTTGTGGATATTTGGTTCCATAATAAATATATATAGCGAACATAGTAAATTTATAAAGTACTAAGTAATTTAAAATAGTTCATCTTATTGGAAGGAACCATTATTTTCATTTCTAGAAAGTTAAGAGAAAAACATTTTTTAAAAACTCAACTAAGGATTAAAGGAAACTAAATTCAACCTTGATTCCTTTGGATTCTAGCCCTATAATTTATAATAATTCAGTGACCTATATGGAGATTTTTTGTAAATAATTTGATAAATTCTCCACACATTTTGCTTAAGGTGTTTCAAGAAATAATCAGGAAATAAAAAGTCAGTTTTGCTTATTTGATTATCTACTTTATTTCTATTGGCCATCCCCATTAAAGCATTAAATATTTTGTGTATACTATTATCTTGTTTCAGAATCAAAGCAAGGAATACAAAATGACCAAGAAAAACTGGAGCAGCAATTCTCAAAAAGCCTGAAGGTTGGGATTAACAGTAGTAAGGAGATAAAAGTAGATAAAAAGGTATCCAGGGAGTAAAGCAAATACCTAACTTTCTCAAATTTTTGAAACCCTACTTTTCCCTCTCCTTTTCATGCCCATTCTCTTATTTTTATGAAAACATTATGCACTTTTAGGGCATATGATGAAAATATGGCAAAGGTGTATGTTTGTCATGATTGCAGGGAGAAAGGCATCTATCATGGGGAAGGGATTTATGTCTATTCAATTTCAAATTATGTATATCTACAGCCATGGCTGATATTGGAGGTAGAAGAATATATATCCATCTCTTTTATTTTTCCATTTCATATTTTAGGTAAACTTTTTTGAAGTTTACTTAAATCCTTAAAGTTCACAAATCATATATGTGCATCTTAATGAATTTTCATAAAGTGAACATATCCAGGAAACCGGTGCCAAAATCAAAAAAGTAGAATGCTTTATTAAAGTTTGAGATATTGTAAATACAGACAAATTTTGAGTGTATAGCTTGAGAATATCTTACAAAATGAACATACCTATGTAACCAGCACTCAAATCAAGAAACAGAACATTACAAGCATCATATTATTAGAAGACTAGAAGCCCTCACCTCCACAACCTTGTGCCCATATCCAGACACAAACCATTCCCCAAAATATCACTATCTGACTTCTGAGATTGATTTTGTCAATTTTGAACATTATATAAAATCTTGGCTTTTATTTTAAGATGGAATGGAGTATGCAAATGCTTCTGAAGCAATTGAATCTGTAGCTTCTGTCTTTGAAATTACACTGAGGTATTACAGAGAGTAACCAGAAGAAGCTTTGCACAGGAGGATGCATAACAGGTTAAAGTTACCACTGCAGAGACTGAAGGCTTATTTCTAATCCCTGATGACACATACCAAGTCTGCTGATCTGTTCTTTCAAACATTAGTATTACCAGCCTCTGGGTGAATTACATTTGACTAAGAATAAGGAATGAAAAGGTAAAGTTCCTGGTGAGAGCAGGTTTCTATGTTGTGCGGTGCTTTTCATTGTAAAGATTAACTAATCTTATTTAATGTTGTCTAATTTAATGAAATAGGCAGCTGCTTCAAGAGGCTTATCCTTTCCACCTGTAACACCTTGTTTTTGCCATTGATAATCTTAGCAGAGACTACTTATTGTTCCCAAGTATCTACTTATTCTTTTTGCGTTTTGGTAAGAGACCCATCCACACATATTTTATTTTATTATTTATTTTGAGACAGAGTCCCACTTTGTTGTCCAGGCTAGAGTGAGTGCCGTGGCATCAACCTAGCTCACAGCAACCTCAAATTCCTGGGCTCAAGCAATCCTACTGCCTCAGCCTCCCGAGTGGCTGGGACTACAGGCATGCACCACCATGCCCAGCTAATTTTTTCTGTATATATTAGTTGGCCAATTAATTTATTTCTATTTATAGTAGAGACGGGGTGTTGCTTTTGCTCAGGCTGATTTCAAACTCCTGACCTTGAGTAATCCGCCTGCCTAGGCCTCCCAGAGAGCTAGGATTACAGGTGTGAGCCACCATGCCTGGGCCACACGTATTTTAGACGGGCGTATTTCTGTCTCACTACCATCATGCTAAAGGGATATAAGCAGAAGTGACATGTGCAACTTCAAGTTGGTCTCTTGGAAAGGAAAGAGTCTACCCTCTGTGTTGTCTTTTGCTGCCTTCCCACTGCCTGGAATGTGGGAGTGTTGGTGGTGAGCTAGAATTAGCCATGTAGACATGTACATCACCCTATGGCAGGATTTGGGAGATTTTTCTGTAAAGGCCCAGATAGTACATAATTTAGGTTTTGCAGTTTATATGGTCTCTTTCACAACCACTCAACTCTGCCAGTGTAATAGTGTGAAATCAGCCATAAACAATATGTAAATGAATG